CAATCAGATCTTCCCCTTCTTTTTTTTTTTTTTTTTTTTTGGCAAGTGGAACTCAGAGGTAGGTGAGACTTACTCTAATTCTTTTTCATTCAGACTGCTGCCATTGGGCAGAGCAGTGGTCAGGTGAAAAGGTGTGGGCACCTTTACTACTCACCTCTATCTTAACATGTGGCTGAAGAGCTAAAAGAAGGGGCCTATGGGAATGGCAGAGGCTTGCAGATAGAGCTCTCATATTTGACCCAAGAAGCACTTTCCTAATAGGCACTTAGGAACAGTATTCAAGGTGGGAACATTCTTATACCTTGGTTCAAACAGGTTGTAGAGACTGCCACTACAACTCAGCACAGGCCAACACCTAACTTTGACAACTTATTCCGCAAGGTCATTTCATGATTCAAGGGAGGCAAGTGACACTGTGGTTAGCTTTAATCTATCAAGCCCATTTGGGGAATTTATCCTATAAAAATAATGGCATCAGTATTTTAAAATATATGCATAAAGATGTTTATTAAAGCATTGCATGTAGCAGTATCAAACCACAACAGCAACTTGAAAAACTCCCAAACATTCATCAATATAGAGCTCACTGATTAAAACTGATATATCTGTTATGGTATGCTATATAGAAGGCTAAAAACAGATCTGTATCTGCTTAAGTAGTTAAATCTGTAGAATAATATATATAATAAGATCTCATTGTTGTAAAAACAAGACAATCACAAAGCATTTATACATGTACATATATACCTCTGTTTATATAAATAAAGAAAATAGACTATTAAGACTTGCAACCCAGGGTAAGGGGCTGTACAGAAAACTACCTTACTTGTTTTTATCATTCATCTTTGTAATGTAATTTTTGCAGTGGTGAACATCCCTATGCCTATTTTCTTTATTCATTAACCATAGACAATAATGATTACCTCACATAATTGTTGTTGAATCAAATGAAGTAATGTATGTGTATCCCTGGCCTTTGTAGGCACTTAATACATCATACTGTTATTTTTTAAAATTTTTATTTATTTAATTTTGAGAGAAAGACAGAGCACGAGCAGGGGAGGGGCAGAGAGAGAAGGAGATACAGAATCTGAAGCAGGCTCCAGGCCCTGAGCTGTCAGCACAGAGCCCGACCCGGGGCTCAAATGCATGAATGCGAGATCAGGACCTGAGCTGAACGCTTAACTGACTGAGCCACCCAGGTGCCCCACATATCATCATCATCATCATCATCATCATCATCATCATCATCATCTTTTGCTTTCACACCAGCAACTTTCTTTTGTCCACCTATAGTGTTTTATATAAAACAGTTCTATCTTAAATTTTTTTTTTAACCTTTATTTATTTTTGAGAGACAGAGAGAACAAGCAGGGGAGGAACAGAGAGAGAGGGAGACACAGAATCTGAAGCAGGCTCCAGGCTCTGAGCTGTCAGCACAGAGTCTGATGCAGGGCTCCAACCCACGAATTGCAAGATCATGACCTGAGCCGAAGTCAGTTGCTTAACCGAGTGAGCCACCCAGGCGCCCCAAAACATTTCTATCTTTAAAAAAAATACTGTCTTCGATATCCATAGATCCAAATGTATAAAAAAATAAAAGCTACCATATTAGTTGAAATTAACACTCAAACTCTAATAGGACTAGCTTGCTAAACTTTAATAAGAACTAAGAAAAACTAAGATTAAGTAAAATTATCTAAGGAGCACTGTGGGAGTATGGCAAATTCCTTAACTTCTCTAACTATAAATGATCTCCTTTGTAATATGATGATGATAATGTCTGCTATGCCTTCTTCCCAAATAATCTCAATATGTAAATATTTAAACATAGATTTCTTATCACAATTGTAAAGTGTTTACAAATGGAAAGGGTAGCAATACTATGAAATATTTCTAAATGTTTATTTTTTTGAAATACAAAGAGATCAATACATTTCATGTATCTGTGTTTAGTAATGTTTGATTTTAAGACTGCTAAAAATCATCTCAAATTTCCTACAGATTTATAAATGTTTTCCATGATTTCTCAGTAACTGCACTTCTATTCTTACAGCTAAATATATACTTAAATACATTACAATATGTTGAATAGAAAATAAGTAAATTATTCAATAATTTCAAGAACAATGTGTTTATTCCACTCCATAAAAAGCTTGCACTTGCATGCAGTTTCTTATGTAGATTCTCTTCCTTATGATTTTAACATTTTGTTTTCTCTAGCTTAATGTATTGTAAAAATATAGTATATATTACATATAACATACAGAAATCTGTATTAGTTGATTATTTACGTTTTTAATAAGGCCTTCAGTTGGCAATAGGCTATTAGTAGTTAAGTTTTGGGGGAGTCAGAAGTTATACATGGGTTTCTGACTATAGTGGTCAGTGCCCCAAATCTCTGTTGTTCAAGGGTCAATTGTATCTCTGTAGTTTGCTGAGTCTAGCAGCACATTCAAAAATCATGCCAAATGTTAGGCAGTTTTTGTGAAATAGTTCTGTTCCATGCATTGCAAGATATCTAGTTTCCTTAACCTTTGCCCAACAAAATGCCCTGTATTCCCCAAATTACTATAACCCAAGACACTTCTACAAATTCCTAACATATCTCATAGGGAGATGTCTCTCAAATTATCTGTGTTAAAGGACGTTTTGTCCCTAATTTGCCTAAGATCTATACTTCTATACAAAATTAAAAACAGAAACAAGTTACTAGGAAAAAAGTGAAATAGAAAACAAATATAAAATATAAGTTCTATTTTATCATTACATTCAACAGAAAAAAATGACCCTGTGGAATTACTATACAAGTTTCTAAATGGTTCCTCTCATTTTTGGCTTTTATCTCATTGCAGACCAATAATAAATAGTTTGCAGACCAGCTCTGGTCCATGGACCACACTTTAAATAGCACTGTCCTAAAGACAGTAGTATAGCTTTCACTGAGAATCACTGGTAAAAATAAAACAGTATATAAAAATGTTAGTTATTATCCTTATCATTTTTTATTCTAAATATCCTTTAGCTGAGACTAAAATAAACAATTCTACCCACATTAACAATGCTATCTCAAAAATTCCTGTCTAAATCTTCAGACATACACACAAGTCCTATTTCCTCTTGTTTGTTTTTAAACGTTTATGTATTTATTTTGAGAGAGAGAGAGAGAGAGAGAG